CCCGGCGCGCGTGGGGACGGGTCTGCAGCCCCTTGTCCGCCCTACAACCCCCATGGGCTGCCGCCCGCCGCCGCCTCGGCTGCCACCCAGGACAAGGCAGGGATAAGCACAGGTGAGTCTGACCATGCCTCTTTCGGAGTCCTGGCCTTTTGCAGCACCCCCATGACACCTGCCCATCTGTGAGCCCGGATCTGTTCCTCCCTAATTTCCTTCGGCATCTCCCTTCCAACCCATCTCTGATGTCTGGCTCCAAACCATGTGTCACTAATTCTCCCCCCTCCCACATTCACCAATCTCTCCTGGCCCCCTCTCATTTATGTCCCCATGCAACCTTCCCTTCTGGACCCACTCTGTCTACCCAGCTCTCCTCTCTACCCTTGTGTCTGTCTTGAGCTCAAGCCATTATCTGTCTGTCTGGGCTTTGTTTCTGCATCCCTTTATCCTCTTCTCCTGCTGTTTCTCTTTGGAAGCTATTTCTGCTCACACTGCCACCTGCCCCTCTTTGCTGCCCCTCTGTCCATTTTTCAGCTTCCATGAATTACATACTAGCTCATATTTTTGTCTCTGTCCAGCCCAAGTCACAATTCTTGACTTCCCCTCCATCTGTCTGTACCTCTCTCCTTCTCCTCTGGTCTCCAGGTTGCCCTCTCCATTATCTCTGTCTCTCCTCCCATCATCTCTCCCTTCCCTCAACTTGGTTCCTGTCTCTGCATCCCCATCCCTCCCCATAATTCACCATACCTATCACCTCTTCTCTGTTTTCTTGGTCCTCTAACTGCCCACCCCAGTCTGGTTCCTTCTCCTTCTTCTGACCCTCTAAGCACTTTCCAACCTGAAGCCCTTGCTCATGCTGTTCCTGCTGCCCCAAATGCTTTGCCCTGCTCTAGCCTCATTGCCCACTACTCATGGCTGGCTCCATCTTGTCCTTCAAGTGCCAGAGAGCCCTCCCTAACTGTCTCCTTCCTGGTTCCTTTGTGGCCCGTCCTCCAGCTGTTTCTTTTGAAGTGGAGTGTGTCTTCTTGTTGGTGTTGGTTTGTTTACTTGTTTGCTCTTCGTCCCCTGTCTTTGGATTGTGACACTGAGGAGTCCCCGTACTTTGTGACACTGAGGGGCCCCCGTACTTTGTTCTTTGCTGGATCTTCAGCAGCCGGCACAGAGCCTGGTGTGTAGTTGGTGCTTGATGAAGATGTGTTGGAAGAATGAATGAATGATGAATGGCCGTCTCCTCATGGGTCCGTCCCTAATCTCTGTCCCTTCCTCTGTGCAGCCCTAATCTCTGTCTCCTTGTCTGCCCATCCCTTTATTTGTGCATCCTGACTCTGCCCCTTTGCTGACCTTCCCAGTCTGTCCCTCCAGGTCCACTTGTCCCTGTCCTCGGTCGCCTTGTCCACTCACGCTCTGTCTCCTTAGTGTGTCCAACCTATGTCTCTGTCTTCTTGTCTGTCCACCCCTGACTTCTGTCCTTTTGTCTCTCTGCTCCTAATTTCTTTCCTTGTCCATCTCTCCCTCATGATTGTGTTCTTGTCCTTCTTCCTCTGATCTTGGTCCCTGATCACCTGCCCCTGCTCTCTGCCCGCTGCCCACCCCTTCTCCCTACCCCGCTCCCAATCCCAGGACCAGACGGACACCATGTCTGGAGACTATGAGGATGACCTCTGCCGGCGGGCTCTCATCCTGGTCTCAGACCTCTGTGCACGGGTCCGAGACGCCGACACCAATGACAGGTGCCAGGAGTTCAATGAGCTGCGAATCCGAGGCTACCCCCGGGGTCCAGATGCAGGTCAGCACCCCAGCTGTCTTGGCTGGCCGCCCAGCTCCACAACAGCCAAGACTTCCAGGAATTCAGAGCAGGCTGCTCAGCTTCCCGTTCCCTTTGGGAACAGTCGCACTTAGCACCTCGAACCCCTCCTGCCTGCTGCTACCCCATTCCCCAAACCTCTCACCTAAGGAGAAGGAGCTGTGTGGTTAGTCACTTGACTGCGGAACCACTTGACCTCTGACCTTTTGCATTGTGCTCTGTGGCCTCCCCATAGCTGTGGCCCTTGGTGCCTCTCACACAGTGGTTCCAAGCTCAGGTTTGAGTCAGGCTGTCTGACTTGTGTGTGTCCAAATCCCACCTCCCTGCCTGGTCACTGGATGGCCTCAGGAAAGCGACTCTTCTTCTATACCTCAGTTTCCTCATCTGGAAAATGGGGACGATAAAAGTGACTACTTCATAGGGCAGATGAGAGACTCAAATGATGCAATCCATGGGAAGCACTTAGAACACTGGACACAAAGTGACCCTAAAGCCAATCCTGGGATTTACTTATCGAGCACCCGCTGTGGATCGGGGACCAGGCGAGGTCCTCATCATTGACTGTGCTCAGTGGTCCTCCATGGTACCTATGTCCTGGTTTTCTACAGGGAAAACTGAGGCTCAGAGGGTGAGGTGACTTGCCTGATGTCAGAGAGCTAGGAAGCAGCAGGGTTCTGAGACCAGGAAATGTCACGCATGCCCACAGCCTCTGGCCGAGCCCTGGGGCAGGGCTGGGCCCCCTGTGTGTAGGACAGCCAGGGGCCACTGATGAGGAGTGAGGGCCAGAGAGTGGCCGTCTCTTGCTCAGAGTCTTAGGTGAGTAGTGGGGCCAGAATTTGGTCCTGGAGAGTCTAGTCCTTGGGATCCCAGGGACCCCCCCCTCAGGTTCAAGGATTTACTAGAAGAACTCGGAATTGAGAAAAGCTGTCGTATGGTCCCAGGTCCCGGTGAAACAAGCCGCTCCTATCAGGCCCTTGTCTGTCTGTCCTGGCAGTTTCCCTCCCAGGAGCTGGACCAGCCTTCTCTGCAGGGAGGCGTGACTCCTTTGCTGTGGAGTCACACACCTCCCCAGACTTGGCGGCTCCTGGGCCTGGCGTGGGGCGAGGGACCGTCAGCCCTGGAGCGCTCACGGTCTGACTTGGACAGTGAAGGCTACTCAGTCTTCCTCCAGACGGACCCCCGGCCTCCGCTCCGCCCGCATTCAGGAGGCTTTTAAAGTCCTTGCCTCTGGCTTCTAACGGTCCCCAGAACTTGCAGCAAGTTTGGGTCACTCAAGGGAGGAGGCAGGGGAAGTTTGGGATTCCTCTGCCCGTGGTTGGTTATGGCTCTGCAGGGTCACGTTCTCTCTCTCTCAGAGCCTGGGTTTTCTAAGTGTAAGATGGGACAAGGGATCCCTAGGTTACACACGGTCAAGGATTAGTGTCACACACCGCTGTAGCTTCACTGAGCAGTATAGGACCAGGAGGTGTCTGTTCCCTCTGTCTGTCCCCTGAACACTCAGCTGTCCTTGCTGGTAATGACTTAGCCACCTACTTCTCCACCGTAATCTGCCACCTACACAGGCAGGGCTCACCTGTCTTCTACCTCGCTGACCCCCAGGAGCCAGTGCCAGAACAAGTGCACATTTCCAGAAAACCCCACTCCTGGTACCAATCACTGAGCAAGCCACCAATTCTTGGTTGCAAGGAACAGGCTGTTGCCTGGGTTTCTCTGAGGCAGAGCAGCATGTCACAGGCATTTGGAAGCTGGTGTTATGCTGCTGGGTCACTTCATGGAAGCAATAGGACTAGTTATTCCAATATGAAGTCACACTGGAACTAACATTTACTAAGCATGATTGAGGTAAGATAGCACAGTGGTGAGGACCATGGGTGCTACTGCCAGGCATCCCAGGCTCAAATTGTGACTCTACCACCTAGCCACGGAAGGACTTTGGGCAGGTGATTCTAATGACCTCAGTTACCTTTTGTGGAAAATGGGAATAATTATGTTGCCAGCTTCATCTGGGGCACTGAGGTGTCTAGTATGTGGCCACCCATGAGCACATGTCTTAGGATATTCCATGTTTACCTCTGCATTTCTTCAAACCAAAAAGCAGGATGATCTTTCCCATCAGGCAAATGGAGAATGTAAGGCTCAGAGTGGTTCAGACAGGTTCCCAAGGCCACAGGGCAAACTGTGATTTCAGTCCTGACCCTCCTGACACTGCCATGCATTCCCACTTTTCCTGGACCATCTCTGAGTGTTTGGGAGGGGCCTTGGTCATGGGACTCTGATCAAGAGAGTAAAATGTGGAGGCAGACAGCTGGGGCCAGACCTCAGCTCTGTCCTCCACAACCTAATGCAATCTCTCAACCTCTTTAGACCTGGTCCTGTGGAATAGCTCCCTCCAGGGCTGGGGAGTTTAAATTGCCTGCATGAGAAGTGCTGGGGACGGTGCATGCCAAATACTGAGGGTCGGCCCCCTGGGGACTCAGCGGGAAGATGCACTCTGACCCACCCTGACCCCTGACCTCTGTCCTCACTCTTTCTAGACATTTCCGTGAGCCTGCTGTCGGTCATCGTCACATTCTGTGGCATTGTCCTCCTGGGTGTCTCTCTCTTCGTGTCCTGGAAGTTGTGCTGGGTGCCCTGGCGGGACAAGGGAGGCTCGGCAGTGGGCGGCGGCCCCCTGCGGAAAGACCTAGGCCCTGGGGTTGGGCTGGCGGGCCTGGTGGGTGGTGGCGGGCACCACCTGGGGGCTGGCCTGGGTGGCCATCCTCTGCTCGGCGGCCCACATCACCATGCCCACACGGCCCACCATCCGCCCTTTGCCGAGCTGCTGGAGCCGGGCAGCTTGGGGGGCTCCGACCCCCCGGAACCCTCTTACTTGGACATGGACACATATCCAGAGGCGGCAGCAGCGGCTGTGGTAGCTGCTGGGGTCAAACCAAGCCAGACATCTCCTGAGCTGCCCTCCGAGGGCGGGGCAGGATCTGGGTTGCTCCTGTTGCCCCCCAGTGGTGGGAGCTTGCCCAGTGCCCAGTCGCATCAGCAAGTCACAAGCCTAGCGCCCAGCACCAGGTGAGAGCCACTGCTGGGCTGGGGTCTACTCTGAACTTCTGCTCCTCTGTGTCTCTTTCCCATCTGTGACTTTTCTGAGTTCTGGGTCAGGAATGGTCTGGACTCCTGGATCCCAGGAATGAAGAGGCGGAGGCCCCAGACTCCGGACCTAAGGGAGGATGGGGCTAGAGGGGCCTTTTTTCCTCTGACCTGAAGGAGAAGGGCCTGGAGTCTTGGGGACTTGGATTCTTGGGTTCAGAGGCAGGAGAGGGCTGGGGACAAGAACATAGGGTCAGGAAAGTGGAGGAGAATGGGAATTGGATCCCCAACGCAGAGGCAATTATTCCTCTGGTTCAGCCCTGGGGACCTGGAGCCCATTCCAGGGCGGCTCATTCTGCATGTGGACCTTGGGCGTCTGGCATGAGCTCGGCCTGACTGCCCTGGAGCAGCCCTGAAGGTCCAGAGGAGACCCTGTTCCCAGGCTGGGAGGAGACCAGGGGCTTCCTGGAGGTGGAGGTGCCTCTGCTGAGTCGGGCAGGGGGCAGGGGAGTGGCTGTGCATTCTGGGAAAAGGGGGCTGCAAGTGCACTGGGGGAACAGCCAGGAGTCACTGGGTGGGAGAGGGACGTTGGAAGATGGGCTGCAGACACCAGACCACACAGGGCCTCAGGTGCCAGGTAGGGAGGCCGGGCTTTGTCCTGTGGGCCCTGGGGAGCGATGGAGGGCTGTGAGCAGGGGAGGAGCAGGGTCAGCTCTGGGTGTAGAAGGACCCCTCTGGGGCCACAAGGAGTGGACAGGAGGGAGACTGGAGGCTGGGAGTCCCGACCGAAGAGGACAAGCCTTGGTTGGGAAAGGGCAGTGGCAATAGAGAGGCCAGGTGGGGGAGAAGAAGATTCAGAGGGTCTGGGCTATGTGAGACCCCAGGGGCCCAAGAAGTTATTCTGAGTCACCAGTTTGAGGTCCAGAGGAGGCTTCCGAAAGGCGATTCACAGGTCTAGGGACAGAGCTGGCCTAGCAATGGGGCTAATTCCCCCCAGATACAGATGAAGCAACAGGCTCAGTGAGACGTCAGGGTCACAGAGTGGGCACAGGAAGGGATCACAGCCACCTCTCTGGGAGCTGAGGGGGAGGCAGGGAGGAGTCCCAGGTGGTCAGATGCAGCCAAAGATCAGAGCCACTGGGTCTGACCTGGACCCCTAGGTCTGAGGGAGGAGGCTGCGCCTGGACCCTGGGTCTGAGGGAGGAGGCTGGGCCTGGACCCTGGGTCTGAGGGAGGAGGT